CCACTACAGATTTCTACACCTTTTATGTTATCCTAATTTGCTCCATCCCAGGTATATCTCCAAACCACCTCAATAACCTCCATTTCAGACCTCTGGATAATATCTTAAGTAACTCCACCTCCTTCTAATCCCTAAATTACGAATTATCTACCTAATATTCACACCACACATTGCCCTCAGACAACGTTTCCACTGCTTCCAATCTCCTCCTTGTAACTTTTAAACTCCATGCTTCATACCCATACAAGAGTGTTGGTACACCTATATGCTTGATACATTCTCTTTTTGCCTCCATAATTAATATTATATAAATTTGGTCTTCACAAATGCCTCCATGTACCACCCACATTTTTCACTTCGTCACTTCTATGGGCCACCTCATCTTTCACAGACCTATCTGCCGACAAATACACTCTAAATATCTGACCACGTTCACTTCCTCCATACTTCCTCCCAATCTGATTTCCAATTTTTTTTTTTTTTGGTTACTCTCATCACCTTGCTCTTTCCTATATTCACTTTTAATTTTCTTCTATTACAATACCCTTTGCAGTTTCTCTTTAGACTCTCCCAAAAGCACAGTGTCATCAGCAATAAGCAGCTGTGACAACTCCCACTTAGTATTAGATTCTTTATCTTTTGATCCCACACCTCTCCAACACCCTATCATTCACGTCTTTATCAACCCCATCAATAAATACAGCGGTACCCTTAGTTTCAGCCATAATTCGTTCCAGGAGGTTGTTCGAGTGCTGTTACCAAACGAATTTGTTCCCACAAGGAATAATGTAAATTAGATTAGTCCATTTTCAGACCCCCAAAAACACACAAAAGCACTTACAATAATACACTTACATAATTGTTTGAATTGCGAGGTGTACGAAACTTGGGGTACCACTGTATATTAAATAACCATGATAACATCACACATCCAGCTAAGGGATACTCTAACCAAAAAGTAATCTCTCAGTATCCTCATAAAAACTCTTAACTGCTTTAAGTAACCTACCACCTATTCCATACACCTGCAACGTCTGCCACATTGCTCCCCTATCCACAATATTGTTATATGACCTTTGTGAATTTAGCACTTAGTTACAATTATAATAATATCCAGTATATCATGCCTTTTCTAAATCCATAAATACAGCAAAAGTTTTCTTACCTTTATCTAAATATTGTTCACTTGTATGCTTGAATGTAAACACTTGTTTCTACACATCCCCAACCCTTCCTAAACCTTTTTCATCTCCCATCCTGCTCTCTATCTTACCTTTAATTCTCTCAGTAATAATGCTTCCATACACTTTGCTTGGTATACTCAACAGGTTTTTTTTTTTTTTAACTCTTGAGCTGTCTCCCATCGAGGCAGGGTGACCCAAAAAAGAAACTCTTTCATTATCATTCACACATAATCAATGTCTTTGCAGAGGCGTTCAAATATGACAGTTTAGATGTCACTCCAAACAGCCAATATCCCAAACCCCTCCTTTAAAGTGCAGGCATTGTACTTCCCATCTCCAGGACTCAAGTCTGACTAACCAGTTTCCCTGAATCCCTTCACAAATTATTACCCTGCTCACACTCCAACAACTCATCAGGTACCAAAAACCATGTCTTTATTCACTCCTATCTAACATGCTCACACATGCCTGCTGGATGTCCAAACCCTTTGCACATAAAACCTCTTTTATCCCCTCCCTCCATCCTTTCCTAGGATGAGCCCTGCCCCTATAATTCTTAAACTCACTTTTATCCCCTTTTCCTGTATACAAAAGAACAATATACGCACTCTGCCAATCCTTAGATACCTTCCCCATATGCTATTAACATTTCTATCTTGATTCCATTAATCCAACTGCTTTGCCTCCTTTTCATTCTACTCACTGCTTCACATATCTTCCTCAAACTCGCATCTGACTCTTTCCTCAGTCCTAAAAGAGGTTATACATCACTGCCTCACTCTTTTCATGAACATGTAAGTGCCTCAAAATATTCCCTTCATCCTCCCAATACTTCCACCTCCCCATCTAATAACCCCTCTTCATTTCCTAGTTTTTCTCAATTTATTAATCGAACTCCGAAACTTTTTCTTATTCCCAGAAAAATTTGGTGACAAAACCCTCACCGTCTCTCATCTGCTCTTGTTATACACACCTTTATCACTCTCATTATCATCTCTGCTTTGAAAAACCTCTCGTACTAACTTTCCCTTAACACTCATTATCTCATTCCACCAATTGCTCCTCTTTCCTCCTGCACCCACCCTCCTATATCCACAAATGGGAAAATCTTTCTTTCAACGCACCGGCTGTATCTCACTGAAGCAGGGTGGCTCAAAAAGAAAAACGAAAGTTTCTCTTTATAAATTTTGTAATGTACGTATAAAGGAGAAGGGGTGACTAGTCCCTTGCTCCCAGCATTTATTCACCTCTTACAACACACATGGCTTATGGAGGAAGAATTCTATTCCACTTCCCCATGGAGATAAGAGGAAATAAACAAGAACTAGCAAGAAAAGAGAAGAAAACCCAGAGGGATGTGTGTAAATACAGTAGACCCCTCATATTACACGGATTTATTCGGCACATTTTGGTTATTACACTACTGAAAAATTGCGGCATAATTTTATACAACACTTCATAAAATTAACTTAACGCGGTTCAGTTTGAGGGAGGGGGAAAAATTTGAAGCATCGCCCAAGGGATATTTTCCTAGCTCAGGCCGTTGCCTGACTGCGGTTGAGATCACTGTCTCTGCTGGGCTGCACCGGGCTTCAAGGCAGCAAAGGATTGCTCGATCTTGCTCCATTGCAGTAATGTGTCAGGTGATTTCAAGCATAATCCCAGCAGAGTAATATTTAGTGAAGGGATTCAGGGAAACTGGTTATTTTTACATAGCCGGACTTGAGTCCTGAAAATGGGAAGTACAATGCCTGCACTCGAAAGGAGGGGTTCGGGATATTGGCAGTTTGGAGGGATATGTTGTGTATCTTTATATGTATATGCTTCTAAACTGTTGTGTTCTGAGCACCTCTGCAAAAATAGTGATTATGTGTGAGTGAGGTGAAAGTGTTGAATGATGATGAAAGTATTTTCTTTTTGGGGATTTTCTTTCTTTTTGGGTCACCCTGCCTCGGTGGGAGACAGCCGACTTGTTGGAAAAAAAAAAAAATTATCATTTTTGTTGCATTTATAGTCTTAAGTAACAAAAACAACATTATTATTTTTATTTTTGTAAGATCTGGCTGTCTAAAAAAAAGTTGTTTGACTTTTGGGGGTCCCAGGAATGTAACCCTATTTTTCCCATAAATTCTTCAGCTTATGTAACATGGATTTATCTAACATTGCATTTTCAGGAACATAACTAACATGTCATGAGGGTCTACTGTGTATGCCTGTACATGCATGTGTAGTGTGACCTAAGAATAAGTAGAAGTAGCAAGACATATCTGAAATCTTGTTTGTTTATGAGGCAGAAAAAAGATATCAGCAATGCTGCCATCATGTAAAGCAGTTATGTACAGGCTTCTGCTTTACTCTCGCTAGGCAGTTGCTGTCTACCAACCTATTTAGTGGGGAAAATATCCCCACTAAATAGGTCAAAAAAGGGAGGGTTGATGAGTATTTAGATTTCTGAGGAAATGAAGGTGTAATTCCTAGGATCAAGAGCCTCTTTACTGCAGCAAGGAAGTGAAGAGATGTATTTTCTTGAAAATAGTAACTAGTTTTGGAAAGGAAAAAATGCCCCTCCAAAAAAGGGTCTTACATATCGAGAACAAAGACTATGACCAACTCTATATCCACAATGAAGATACAATATGCCCCTCTAACACAGCATTAGTTTTCTTGGAGCTGACCCAGAGGAAGTGGGGAATAAAGGAACAGCACCACAAAGGTAACTTGCCTACCTTTGCTTCATTGTTAACTTGAATGATTAGATGTGTTGAGACTAGCACTTTTCCTAAAATGCACTGTATTGCACTTTGCCTTGTACCAAAATTCTATTTTATCATCACCTCTGGCAATCCCACTGTTAATGCCAGATATGAATTTCTTACCCTGCTCCTTTAGCACTTTCCATGAATAAGTAACTGACTCTAATTTTCTTCATCAGATGTGACCTATCTTTTCTTGCTACTAATATTCTTCCTTAAGCACCACTTATTCCTTTCTATCCCTTTCATCTCAGCTGTTTTGTGCTGTATGATTTCTGGGATTAACACTTTCCACAATGTTATAAATTAACAAAATCCTGGGTGCACCAGTCTATCACTGAGGTACAATGGGTTACATGTGTAAGATATTAAAGTGAGCTCTAGCTTGGTTGGTAGTGCATTAGGCAGATATAAAAAGTTTTTTTAAGAAATATTTTAATGAACTTCAACAGTAATTCCTCATCTTTAATAAAATAAATATTTGGTATTTTTCTACATACACTCTGTCAATACAATAATCTTACATACACAAGAATGTCAAATATTTTAAGTTACATTCAGATCTGAATAGCATTTGCAAAAATTTTATTTTATCAATGGAAAAAAAAAAAGTCAAAAAGAAGAAAATATTTGCAACTGCTGTTGATCTCATACACCATTATACAAGTGACTGAAAACTAAAATAATACTGGAATAGCTGCATTTAAAAAAAGTAAATATAAGCATGTACTGCATGTATCATATATACTGGATATTTGTACACGTGTCTTGACATGTGCTTGCAACAAGTGTTGTAAGTAAGCTTAATGAAAAAAGCTCCACATAATAAATAAGCATTAACAATATATTTATTCAATCTATTCAAAGAAGTGAGAACACTTTTAGTAGTATTACAGTATGTATATGGTATATTATTTGCTGAATGTGAATTACTTTACAGTCCTATTATTCTTTAATAAATAGTGCCACTAATCTAAACTACTTCTCTGTTATTAACCCTTTCAATGTCCAGACACCCAAAAATTAATATTGCTCTCAGTGTCCACTTTTCTAAACTACTTCCCTGTTATTAACCTTTTCAATGTCCAGACACCCAAAAATTAATATTGTTCTGTCCACTTTTTTTTTTTTTTAAATTCTTATGAAATTTCAGGTAGAGAATCTTATTCTGTAGGTAATGACACCAAAAGTACAAAATTGATGAAAAACCTATGAAATTACACAGGCACAAAGTTAGTGGTTCTTGACACAATTCATGCATTGGCGATTTTGCCCACTTTGATTCCTATTTTAAGCCATTTCCATTGTTCCATTTGACCAAATTCGAAGCTATTTCACTAGTATGCCTTTCATTTTATTGATTATGCAAAGAAACTGCCTATTCAATTATTTCAACTACCTTATAAAGTGCACAGAAGTTGGTAATTTGGTCAATTTTACACAAAATTAAAAAAAATACCAGTTTAACCCTTAAATTGTCCAAACATAGATCTACGTTTGCACTGCTAGTGCTCCAAACATAGATCTACTTTTTTTTTTTTTTTTACATTTGAAAGCATGTAAAACGAAACGTAGATCTACATTCGGAGCGCTAGAAGTGCAAACATAGATCTGCATTTGGACAGTTGAAGGGTTAAAAATAGTCCATAATAAATAATGCAGACATTCCTAGCACTAAAACATTTCCTCTTTTCATTAGTCACATCCCCAAGCCTCTCCTGTATGACACTTCCCTTCCATTTTGAATTATTACTCAAATAATAATACACATGTATTCATGTCTGAGGGGAATGTGTGGTGTGAATATAATGCAGAGAATTCATAGTTTGGAAGTTAGGAGGAGGTGCAGGATTGCCAAAACTGTTGTCCAGAGGACTGAGGAAGGGTTGAGGTGGTTCGGACATGTAGAGAGAATGGAGCGAAACAGAATGACTTCAAGAGTGTATCAGTCTGTAGTGGAAGAAGGCGGGGTAGGGGTTGGCCTAGGAAAGGTTGGAGGGAGGGGGTAAAGGAGGTTTTGTGTGCGAGGGGCTTGAACTTCCAGCGGGCATGCGTGAGCGTGTTTGATAGGAGTGAATGGAGACAAATGGTTTTTAATACTTGACATGCTGTTGGAGTGTGAGCAAAGTAACATTTATGAAGGGATTCAGGGAAACCGGCATTCCGGACTTGAGTCCTGGAGATGGGAAGTACAGTGCCTGCACTCTGAAGGAGGGGTGTTAATGTTGCAGTTTAAAAACTGTAGTGTAAAGCACCCTTCTGGCAAGACAGTGATGGAGTGAATGATGGTGAAAGGTTTTCTTTTTCAGGCCACCCTGCCTTGGTGGGAATCGGCCAGTGTGTTAATAATAAAAATAATATAATCAAATAATATTGTTCATTATTATTCAAATATTAATTTTTTTAACACACTGGCCATTTCCCACCAAGGCAGAGTGACCCAAAAAGAAAGAAAAACATAAAAAGAAAGAAAAAACTTTCATCATCATTCAACACTTTCACCATCCCTCATACATAATCACTGTCTTTGCAGAGGTACTCAGATACGACAGCTTAGATATCCCTCCTAATTGCCAATATCCCAAACCCCTCCTTTAAAGTGCAGGCATTATACTTCCCATTTCCAGGACTCAAGTCCAACTAACCGGTTTCACAAAATATTACCCTGCTCACACTCCAACAGCTCGTCAGGTCCCAAAAACCATTCGTCTCCATTCACTCCCATCTAACACACTCACGCATGCTTGCTGGAAGTCCAAGCCCCTCGCCACAAAACCCCCTTTAGCCCCTCCCTCCAACCTTTCCAGGGATGACCCCTACCCCGCCTTCCTTCCCCTACAGATTTATACGCTCTCCAAGTCATTCTACTTTGTTCCATTCTAAGTGACCAAACCACCTCAACAGCCTCTCTTCAGCCCTCTGACTAATACTTTCAGTAACTCCACACCTCCTAATTTCCACACAATGAATTCTCTGCATAATAATAAATAATAAAATATAGCCAGGAAAGATTGGTCATGGTTTACAGCATCCCAACAATTGAATCAGACTATTAAAAATCCAAAACCCATAAAACACTCAGGGTTTATGGCTTGAACATCGCAAAAATCTAATATTTCCAATATTTTGAGCTCCCGAAACATCTCACAATCATTTTTATTTTGGTAATATGTCTTCCTTTCTATCAAATGATACCAAGAAATATGTAGCCAATAAAATCATAAAAAACAACATTTGGGAAAACACCTCAGTGAATATTCTACACCAAACATTGTCACAATTTTGTTTTTCCCGTCAGGCGCCACGTGCGGCAGAATTTTTGTTTATACTGTGCACACTCACTGCACAGACCTATTCTCTTATATCTAGGCCAAAATTTACTGCTTGCAGCTTATCCAAGTGGGTTGAACTCAAGACATATACCTACATCTGGGACCCTGGCCTCAATGACGTAGTTCTACGTGATGGACAGTCAAAGGGTTAAATAAATATATAGCCTATACCTATAATAAAACATTGGAATATGATATATACATTAATAAATTTAATGCATTTACACTCCAAGAATAAGCATAAGAAATAACTTTTGGATCATTATACAAGAACATTGGTAAAAATTATTTAGAGGATCATTATACAGAAACAATATTACTAAAAATGCTTATCTTATTTTAACTGCAAAAATGTGTTGTATACATCAGGTACATGACTATACATACTTCTATGGATACTTAGAGTATTATCCAACAGCTCTGTATCTATCACTGGGTAGGCAGTCCTTTGAAAAAACTAAATTTTCAATATAAAATTTATGTGCCTATTTCTCTGTACAAATATTTATTACAATATTAAGTATATTAATAATACATTACTAATGTATTTTGCAAAAAGTAAATTAAAACAATACATTTTTTTTATATTATCACTGGTAACCATTTGGCAATTAACAAAAATTCATGTTTTGATATTGTACACCATGTGAAAGACATTTTGTCAATGGTCCATTATAATGTTAAACAAAATCATAAAATTCCAGTTACAAAGTCTGGGATATTCAGTACTGTACTGCAAATTATAACAGATAACAATGATAAATCACAATAATGCATTTTGAAGAATAATTGAAAACTTGAGATCAAGCTGTAAACCAGAAAAATTATTCATTTACTATATTCTAATTCATTAAAACTACAAGTGGTGGTGAAGGCTGCTTGTAGTTGAGATGTATTTATGGTAATATAACTAAATTAATCCATCAATCACAAAGATGGAAGAAAGTATTAACTTGATATTAAATAACAAGATGTTGTAGAAGATGAGATGGACCTACTGCACATGTGCAATATGCATAAGATACTAATGTATGAGACTATACTATATAATAATTTTTTGCAATATACATAAAATTTTCTAAAATTATTTACATACACACACTCCAAATAAACTTTAATCTTTGTGAAAGTTCCGGAGGTTTATGATTTTTCCTCTTTCTCTTTATTGTACTTTTCCAGTTCCTTCAAGAATTGTGCTCGAGGTTTCATAACAGTTGGTTTATCTCCTCTGCATTTTGGGCAGAACCATTTTCCCTTTGGCTTGTTGGTCAGTCCTACACATGAAAAATGGAACCATTCGATAGGACACAAGTCATTATCACAACCAATCATTTCTCCATATGAAACCTGGAAAAAATAAGAAGCAAAATTACAAACTGTTGTGTATTATATAAGAGCAATTCATGTGCAATGGGTATCTTAACTACTGTAAATAATTAAACAATAAAACTAAATTTTAAAAAGCACTGGTTCAACTACTGTCAGGAAAGTACCTTCACTGAAGGAAGCCTTTCAATCTGCAGATCTAACCAGAGATTGTAGTTTGTAAACAGTGTAGCTCACCAAGACTCAATGTTAAGTCCCATATTATCCTTTTTTGAAGATAATGCCAAAATAGTAAGGAGAATACAAAATGATGAGGATAAATAAAAAAAAGCTGCAAAAATACTGTATCTGAACAGTCTTCAGGAAGTCAGGAAAAAGGGTTAATAATAGGAGGTTTCAGAGTGGGTAGGGGATGTGTAGATCATATATGTGAACAGTTTTTAGATAAAGGTAGGGAAGTTTTTATTGCATTTATGGATTTAGAAAAGGCATATGATAGAGTGAATAGGGGATCAATGTGGCAGATGTTGCAAGTATATGGAATAGGTGGTAAGTTACTAAATGCTGTAAAGAGTTTTTATGAGGATAGCGAGGCTCAGGTTAGGGTGTGTAGAAGAGAGGGAGACTACTTCCCAGTAAAAGTAGGTCTTAAACAGGGATGTGTAGTGTCACCATGGTTGTTTAATATATTTATAGATGGGGTTGTAAAAGAAGTAAAGAGGGGTGGGATTAAATTTTGGGGAATGAAATACAACATGGGAATTGACACAGTTACTTTTTGCTGATGATACTGCACTTATGGGAGATTCTAAAAAAAAATTGCAAACATTAGTAGATGTGTTTGGGAGTGTGTGTTTAAAGGTAGAAAGTTGAAAGTGAACATAGAAAAGAGTAAGGTGATGAAGGTATCAAATGATTTAGATAAAGAAAAATTGGATATCAAATTGGGGAGGAGGAGTATGGAAGAAGTGAATGTTTTCAGATACTTGGGAGTTGACGTGTTGGCGGATGGATTTATGAAGGATGAGGTTAATCATAGAATTGATGAGGGAAAAAAGGTGAGTGGTGCATTGAGGTATATGTGGAGTCAAAAAATGTTATCTATGGAGGCAAAGAAGGGAATGTATGAAAGTATAGTAGTACCAACACTCTTATATGGGTGTGAAGCTTGGGTTGTGAATGCAGCAGCGAGGAGGCAGTGGAGATGTCCTGTCTAAGGGCAATGTGTGGTGTAAATATTATGCAGAAAATTAGGAGTGTGGAAATTAGGAGAAGGTGTGGAGTTAATAAAAGTATTAGTCAGAGGGCTGAAGAGGGGTTGTTGAGGTGGTTTGGTCATTTAGAGAATGGATCAAAGTAGAATGACATGGAGAGCATTTAAATCTGTAGGAGAAGGAAGGTGGGGTAGGGGTCGTCCTTGAAAAGGTTGGAAGGAAGGGGTAAGGGAGGTTTTGTGGGCGAGGGGCTTGGACTTCCAGCAGGTGTGCATGAGCGTGTTCGATAGG